CCGGAGGGAGGAGGGAGGGGCACGGGACGATGGGAGGAATCTGAATATCGTTGATCCGATCCCCATCCCAAGCGGCGTGGCCTGGGCCCCAGTGGCCGACTTACCCCCCTAGATGGGGATATAGGCCGTCCCATTCGGGTTTCGAGCGGTGTATCCCCAGCTGGGCGGGTTATTTGGAGGGGGTCTCGAAGGGGACGGGGATGGGGATGGGGATTGAATACACGATAATGAGAATCAGGAAGCAGGAATTAGAACTGTTCCGAAGCAAGATCCAAACGCAACTCGGCACCTCACTTCAGACTATGGGCCGTGGGAGGACATCCTCGCAAGAATCAATCAATATACTCACGCCGTGTGCGAGAGATCATATCGAGACGACACTGCTGGGCAAGAGATCTGAGCTGATCTCTGCCACGTGAAACACACTTCCCAAACAGCCAACACTTGACGAACGAGGGGGTGGAAGAGGGGGGAGGGGGGAGGGGGGAGGGAGGAGAAAGATGGACGACGAGGGCGGAATCAGCGTTTCTCCCCAGAGAAGTAACATACAAAGCATATCAAGCGTTTAATTCATTCCCTACCTAGGCTCTGCCTAGAAGGGTTCTTATTCTCTTTGCTTAAAGGGGTCGGGCAGGGGAACGCGCCCCGGGCGGTTCCGCCCCGCGGTCCCCCAGTTACGTTCCCTTAGCTTAGCGTTGCGTATCTCATCTTAGCTTAGCGTATTTCATCTTAGCCTAGCTTAGCTTCATATTAGCTCAGGTTTGCCTTAGCTTACCTTAATCTTAGCTTCGCTGAGCTTTAGCACAGCAGAGCACAGCATAGCATAGCGTAGCATAGCATAGCGCAGCACAGCATACCATAGCATAGCCCAGCATAGCATAGCATAGCGCAGCATAGCATAGCATAGCACTGCATAGAGCAGCACAGCACAGCACAGCATAGCACAGCACAGCATAGCACAGCGCAGCATAGCATAGCATAGCATAGCAGAGCATAGCAGAGCATAGCAGCAAAGCAAAGGCAAAGCAACAGCAGCGACAGCAAAACAAAGCACAAGCAACGCAAAGCAAAGCAAAGCAACAGCAAAAGCAAAGCAAAGGAACGACAAAGCAAAAGCAATGTGCGACAGATGCCGAGTTAGCATGGGTGTATTTCCCTACCTAGGCTCTGCCTAGAGGGTTAGCTTAGCTTAGCTTAGTTTAGGTTAGCTTAGCATAGCGCAGCGCTGCATTATCATAGCATAGCATATCATAACATAGCCAAGCATAGCATAGCTTAGCATATCATAGCATAGCGCAGCATAGCATAACATAGCATAGCATAGCACAGCATAGCATCAGTATAACATAGCATAGCGCAGCTTAGCATATCATAGCATAGCATATCATAGCATAGCATAGCGCAGCATGGCATAGCATAGCTTAGCATAGCATGGCATATCATAGCATAGCATAGCGTAGCACATCGCAGCATAGCATGGCATAGCATAGCATAGCATAGCGCAGCATAGCATTGCATAGCATAGTATAGCATAGCATAGCAACTAATTGCGTCCCTAGGGGCTCCAGCTTCTAGGTAGGGTCGCACTGGGGTAATGTTGGCCTTTCGGGGGGGGGGGGGCATGGGAGGCGTTTGGGCGCAGATGGCTCCACGATGGCCCAACATGCATGTAGATGGCCTCCATGATGGCTGCAAGATGGAAGAACGCCCAAACGCGTCCCGAGAGGGCCAAAAGATGCGATGTTGTGGGCTGCGACGGAGAGGCTGCAAGAGGATCCCCCTTGTCCGACCGATATCTTCCAAGATGGCCCCAACAAGCCCCAAAGGGCAACCAAGAGGCAACACCGAAGCTCCAACAGGGCCCCAAGTGAGCAAGAGATGGTTTGAGAATGGTTATGAGATGGCCCAGGCATGATTCCAGTAGGCCTCCCAGATGCTTCCAGCGGAAGGTCTGCGAAGGCATGTACGGTTGACTCATGTCTCATGTCGTCGTCGGCCTCGCCTCCTGTCCTCTCCTCATCCTCCTCCTCCCCCTCCCACGTAGAGGTCCCCACACATTGAAAGGAGATATGTTCTGTCCCCCTCATCATGCTCCCGCAGTTTCGGCCTGTCCTCCTCCTCGTCCTCATCCTTCTGATTCGAAAAGGCTCAGACGTTCGCCTGGTGGACGTGTCTGGATGGGCTGGTGGAGAAGCGCGAAACGTCAACAATGAATCAATCGTGCCATGATTAACATAGTTTCGCCTCTCCCCCCCCTCATCCACCCCCCTTCCACGTATCGTAGTGATCATCAACATCACCAGAATCAGAATCCTCATCATTATCAGCATCATCACCATCAGCATCAACATCAGCATCATCAGCATCATCCTCATCATCATCAGCAGCATCAGAATCAGCATCAGCATCATCATCATCAGCGTCGTCATCGTCATCATCATCATCATCATCGGCATCACCAGCACCAACATCACCAACATCACTATCATCACCATCATCGCCGTCATCAGTATCACCATCATCATCTCAATCAGCATCATCATCATCATCATCATCATCATCATCATCATCATCATCATCATCATCATCATCATCATCGTCATCGTCATCACCATCATGATCAGCATTGCCATCATCCTAAACAAATGCCAGTACCATGACGTTGGGAATAATTCCAATCAACAGAAGCAGCAGCATAGTAATCGCCACCACCACCGTCGCCTTCGCGGTCACGGTCACCAGTATTATCATCGGCATCATCGTCATCAGCAGCATCATCAACAGCGTCAGCATCATCGTCATCATCAGCAGCATCATCATCATCAGCAGCAGCATCAGCATCATCATCATCATCATCATCGTCATCATCATCATCATCAGCGTCGTCAGTCTCATCAGAATCAGCAGAGTCTTCATCATACCAAGCAGCATAACCATCCACGTCACCATCAGCATCATCACCATCAACAGCATCAGCATCAGCATCATCATCATCAGCACCATCACCATCGCTCGCCCTCAGCAGCATCGTCATCAGCAGCAGCGCCCATCATCGTCGTCATCATCCCCATCGCCAGCAGCATCATGATCAGCATCAGCATAAGAATCGATATCATCACCATAATCAGCATCAACAACATCGCCAGCATCAACAGCATCCGTATCATCGTTCTCGAAATCACCATAGCCATCAGCATTAACGGCAAACGCCTCGTCAGTAGCCGCCACCTCCTCCCTCATGATAGTATTCAGCATCAGCGTCAACATAAGCACCAGCATCATCATCAGCATCATCAGCATCGTCGTCGTCGGCAGCAGCAGCATTATCGTCAGTATCAGCATAAGCAGCATCATCATCAGCAGTATCAGCATCATCAACAGCAGCATGATCAGCATCATCATCATCGTGATCAGCGACAGCATCGGCATAATCATCATCATCAGCATCAGCATCAGCATCAGCATCGGCATCGCCAACATCATCAGCAGCATCATCATCGTGATCGTACTCATCATCATCAGCATCAGCATCATCATCGTCTACGCTCATCATCATCATCATCATCATCATCATCATCATCATCAACAGCATCATAATCATCGTCACCATCGTCTTCATCCGTCGGCCTGATCCCGTCCTCTTCACACTCCTCCGTCCTCCGTCCTCTGTCCTCCTCCTCCTCCTCCTCCTCCTCCGCTACTTCCCCGTAATTGTACATGCCTCCTCCTACCCCTCCTCAAGATCCTGCGGCTCGCCGATCCCCATCTGCCTCCTCTTCCCTAGACAGCGGATGATGACCGCATGTCGGGTACCTAGTTAAGTCTGAAAGCTACGCGAGCATGGCAGTCATTCCCCGAGGCCGCTTCTTCTTCCCCATCACCACCATGTTCCTCGCTCACTCCTCGTCCTCCACCTCCTCCTCCTCCTCATCCTCCTCCTCCTCCTCCTCCTCCTCCCCCTCCTCCCCCTCATCCTAAATCAGTGGCTCTAACTCTTCGGTTTACGCAAGTGCGACATTGGCGAGCTGATGATGCTGCCTCTGCGGCTGCATGGGGATTTCATCTGTAAAGTCCTCTTGGGCACGTGTCACGGTTGGCCAACGGCTAATCCGCAGCGGTGCCTTTAACACCGACGGGCGATCATCGACAAAACCTCAAAAAGCCAACCGAGCTTCACGGCGCAAGTGTTACAATATTGTCTGGCAGTGACTTGCCAGAGCGGATTGTTGGACCATTCTCATCTCGACTCCTGCGAGTCGCGCGAGCAGCATGAACGAGCAAGCAAGACCGAGCGGGCAGCAGGGCAGCTACACCCTCGAATCTGCATCTCGGATCGAGCCCAACCTTGTTCAGACGAGGAGCCACAGGACGAGCAGAGCCAGGCAGCGCGCGCCCCGCCCGCGAGGCGCGCCGCACGCGCTGGGCATCGCGAGAACAAAGCTTCTGAGCATTGCGTTCGGCGTCCACGAAGACTAGGGGGAGGAGTAGGTGGAGGAGCAGGACTCGCCATCGCTCGGACGTCCGTTCCCAGTGCATGGTTCGGTTTCGTGCATTGCCTTGTTTCCTGATGATCCGGGATGCTCTCCGATGGCCCTCGCCGAAAAAAAGACACACGCCCGAGCGATGCCAAGACAAACAGCGAGAGGGGGATGTGGGGGGGGATGAGGGCATGCGACTGCCCGCCCCAGATGTACACTGGAGTCGGCGCAGTAACAGCACGCATGCGGCGCGAACACGCAAAAAGGTCACTCAGGGACACAGCCGTGCCAAACTTGTTCCCTCTCACTAGCTACTGGAGAAAAACTAATTCGGAGGGCGCCAATTGACCACCTCACAGATCCTTGCTGGACAGATCCTGCGCCCAGGACCGCTGCTTGTGCCTCCTTGGCCAAACCAGGAGGGCGTCTACACCGATCCTGGGCCTAGGATGGGCCTGGTCAGGATCGGAGAGGTGCTCAGTGACCTTCCCCGAAGACTGCAGTCGCGACTGACTGCCCCAGATGTACACTGGAGGCAGCGCAAGACGCCTACCGCGAAAAACAGGCGACGATGCCGAGGCCGCAAACTACCGCAGTGTATTGCAGAGGCAGTGCTGGCGATCAGCATCTCGAGCAGCTCTCATACTGCACAGCGGACCAGAGTGGGGACCTCTCAAATCAAGTGCGAGTAGATGGGGTCGGAGGATCTCGCGGCATTTGCGATGCATTGCACATGCATCAACGATGTTGGCGATGCATCCGCAAAGTCGTCGTGGAGAAAATCAGGCTCCACATCGAGCCGCATCGTCGATGTGGCGCGACCATCTGCTCGGACCGCTTTTCGGAGGCGTGGACCTTCACGTTGCCTCTCGGTTTTCGGGTCATCACTCAGCTCTCCGGCGGCCGGTCGGAACAATCCCGATCCCGGCCCCCCCAGAACGCCCTCGACGGGGTGCAGCTGATGGAGACCATCCCAAGTTTCGGAAGAACTACAAGAAACGTTAGAGCCCCCCCTGTGAGCCCAGTCCTCAGAATACTGTCTGATGGGCTTGTTTTCCACCACCACCAACTTAAGTTGGAGGGGGAACAGGGTCCTCCTCCTCCAAATCGTCCTCCTCCTCCTCCTCCTCGTCCTCCTCCTCCTCCTTCCCCCCTCCAACTTATGGTGGTGGTGGTGGTGGAAAACAGGCCCGTCACTGTCCAGTCCTTCGGAGCACTGCTCGGGAGAGCAGCCAGGCTCGGCCGACCTTGCAGCGCGGCCAACTGTCACCGGGCCGCCGGTCTGCTCGGCGCGTGCCGCGAGCCTGCGCGGCCGTGAGCTCCCACGGACCACTCCTGGGTCCCCAGGGCGCGCCCCGGCGCACGGGCTCCCCCCAGTCTCCCCTCGCGCTGCGACGACGACGACGACGACGACGACGACGACGACGACGACGAGGGGTACTCAGCAGGGGGGAACAACGGGTCCCCGGAGTCGACGATGTGAGAAATCAGAACGCCGTGGGAGATCTGGGGAGAACACGGGACGAGGATGAGGAGGGCTCAGGGAGAGCCTGACGCTACGAGCAAGAGGAGAGAGAGAGAGAGAGAGAGAAAAAAAAAAAAAAAGAGAGAGAGAGAGGGAGAGAGAGAGCTCCGAGAGAGAGCCTCTTTGAGATCCGCCGCCGCGCCTCTGGCATCCAGTGGAGCACCACGCTGAATCCTGGATGGTCTTTCATTTCAGGATACTTCTTGAACAGTGCTTGCACTTGCTAGGGGCCCTCACTGGTGTTGGTTGGTAAGACTCTGGATGGGCCCCCTGGGGCCTCCCAAACGCACTATTTGGGTCCATGCTGGCAAACATAGAGTGCAGTCATCGGGCTACCAGACAGAACGCTGAACAACCACGGGGCTCGCCTGGCCACGGCGAGCCTCGGCAACGAACAGGTTCCACAACCTCGATCCAAGGAAGGGTCCGAAAACCAGAGCCCCTCCTGAGTCCGAAGTGCTCCTGATTTCGACGTCCTGGCTGTAAAATATAAGCTGTAGAAGACGAATTGGGGACCCCAAAACCCTGTGTTGACAGACCGCGTGGTGACCTCGCCGTCACCGCACGGTTTTGGGACCTCGGAGGCCCTGGGCGGAAGCCTCGACAGATCACGCACCAGACAGACACACGAACAGGCTGACCGCCGACTTTACCTCGAGAGTTCGCGGCATCACGGAGTCGTCCCGTCGCGGTGCCCTCGCGGGGACCTCCTCGGGCGATGCTGGTATCCTCCGGGGGCGTTCTTGGGCCCCCTCGGGCCCTCCTGAGGCGTCTTGCAGTCGTGTTGCGTTCGTATTGGTGGGTCTCCAGGGGCCGTCAGGGGTGAGTATTAGGCCATCTTTCGAGTGAGGGATCGACTACAGAACCGATCTACCCCAGGATTGAAATGTTCGTAGGATCTGCCAAAGTCCGTCGAATGCTTGTAGATCTACCAACATTCGACGTATGTTTTCGTAGACACGACAACAAGTCCGCCGACCCTGTCGGCGTGTAGAAGAGGCAGTTCCGTTCAACTCGTCGTCGTCGTTGTCGTCGTCGTCGCGGTCGCTGTCGTCGTCGTCGTCGTCGTCGTCGTCGTCGTCGCCCTCGCCGCTCTCCTCTCCTTTCCCTAGTCCCGTTGAGGTTCAGTCAAAGGGAAGCCCCTTCCCTTTGATTCCTTCCCCGCCGGTGGGAGGGGATCCCGGGAGGGGACCCAGGAGGGGTCCTGGGGGCGGACCCGGAAGGGATCGCCACCCAGATACGACTCTCCCCCCGGGGGGGTCGCCATCCAAATACGACACACCCCTGGGTGGCGCGGGGGCCCAGAAAAGCCCCAAGAATGCAAAAGTGGCCCAAGAAGCCCCCAAGACTGTGCTCCAGGGCCCCGAATCGCCGAAGCATCGGTCCAAGTTGCTAAAGTAGCATCCTCACGGCTCAAAAGGTTTCCAAGAGGCCTCCAGAGGACTTCCAAGAGGGCCCCAAGTGGCAAAAATGATCGAGTTCCCTGAGGTTTTTGAAAGATTTCGGCATTCTCGCCTTGTCAGCTTCCCGACGCTCCAAGACAGGCCAGGAGGCCCCCAAGAAAGCCCCAAGATGGCCCAAGAGGCCTCTAAGAGGCCTCCAAAACAGCCGAAGAGGCTCCCAAGACGGCTCCAAGAGGGAGCACAGACGAGGGACCCGAACGGTCATTTCGAGGCCTCGGCCTGAGAAGCTTCCAGGAGGCCCCCGGAGGCCCCCAAGAAGCACCCCAAGAGGCCCCAAGAGGCCCCCAAGAGACCTCCAGGAAACCCCAAGAGACGCCCACGAGGCTCCCAAGCGACCCCCAAGAGCCTCCCAAGAGGCCCCCAGACTACCCCCACGAGGCACCCGAGAGCGCTCGTCGTCGTCGTCGTCGTCGTCGTCGTCGTCGTCGTCGTCGTCGTCGTCGTCGTCGTCGTCGTCGTCATCGTCGTCGTCGTCGTCGTCGTCGTCGTCGTCGTCGTCGTCGTCGTCGTCGTCGTCGTCGTCGTCGTCGTCGTCGTCATCGTCGACGTCGCCATTCAGGGTCGGCGGCACTGGCCGTAAGGCCTTCGCAATCAATCCTGGGGTAAATCAACTCTGTAGTCCATCCCCATACTCAAATCTTATGGGTGGGATTGGGCCGTCTTCTTGGGGCTGCCATTCGGACCATCCTGCAGGACATCACCATTGGGACCTCCTGGGGGGGTATTGTGGGCCACTTGGGCCCATCTTGGAAGCCTACGAGGCCCTGCGCGCCGTATGTGTGCAACAATGTCGCGGAGAATATGCCGAGATTCCTTGTCGCAACTAGCTCGCTGTTGCCTCCTGCTGCTTGATGAAGAATACTGCCCACAAACGGTGGGTATGTACGTATTGCTACGCCGTACTACTGCTTGCTTCTGCTACTTAGGGCTCCTCGACGGGTGACTTGTTTCCCTCCCAGGGTCTTTGACGGCACGTACGGCAGGGTCTCGGAGCGAGAGGCCGACAAAGAACACAGGTAACTGACAACGGACCAGCAATACATCAATGCTGGCCCCGGCATTTGGTCGTCAGGCAACATCCGAAAGCAAGCATAGGAAGGGGCGGGAAATTGAGAAAGGGGAGGCACCGTAGGGGGGCATGTGAGGGATAGGTGAGATTGGGCTCACACTTCAACAAACCAGGCGCTGTCCCAAACTGTTGAGGCAAATAGTTGCGCTAGATTGTTTGCATGGGTTCGATGGGCCTGCGGGAACGATCGCGATGATTGTGATGCGTGCAGCGGACACTGAGGGCGAACATGGCTGGATGGCCTACCTTCACAGAGGAGGGAGGGGGAGATACGCTTCAATTCGGCTCCCATTCAACCCCATTTGGAATCCTCAGGAGGCGGCGGTGGGTCGCTGTATGCGTCTTCGATGCAAATCGCTCCTGAGAGGGAGCGTCTCTCGAGCACTGCTCCAAAACCTCGTTGTTGTTGGAACTGCTCATCGCGCCCTCCGCTCGTCACCTTCCTCCTGCCCAGAGTCCAGAACCGAGAGAACCAGATGAAAGTGCGCTTTCGGAGGCAGGCGCGCATTTCTGAGGGACGGCGCTGGACAGCCCCCCGCCACGCCGGCGCACTAGCGCGCGGCCAGGAGTGAGGCGAGGGCTGGGAGCCGGCCCAAGACACCCGCGCAGATCTCCTACGTGTGCGCTCGTGTCGTCGTGCGGCTCTCGCTGCTCTTAGGCGAGCTCCAAACAATACGCCACCACCGGCCCTGGCCAGGCCCATCCTAGGCCCTGGACTGGTGCACAGGCCCTCCTGGACTAGGCCTGGTGGTGGTGGTGTATTATTGGCGTCACTCCGAGCTCTCCCTCCACTCTCACCTCCAACTGCCACCTCCCTGAGCCTTCCTTCAAGCACCCGTCGGCTCCACCACCTGTCTGTGGTGTCTCGAGTCGCGCTTGAGTTGGCGACGGCTACTTCTCCGCCCTTGCCCTCGGAGTCCCAACGCGTCACGGGAATGGAATGGAACGGAACGGAACGGAATGGAATGAAGTGGAATGGAGTACCCTGTGGGGAGCGCACAGCACTAAATAATCTCATAGCCAGGCTATCATATACAAAACGTGAGGGGAAGGGGGCGCTGTCAGCACGTCACGGGTAGAAGATGTCGACGCCCGAGCTGCTGGAGCCTGTCGTCTGCGGCATGACCTCGCTCGGGGGCGCTACCATCAGCTCGTCGATCCGGTCGAGCTCGTCAGCCTGGAGACCCTGCCCATCAGACAGCCGCCGGACCGAACAAGACCGACGCCGGCGCCCGCGCCCACCACACAAGGGACCACAACTCCGCCTCCGCCGCCCCCCGCCGCCGCCGTCGACGCAGCCGCTGGTGGGCGCTGGTGTTGGCGCTGCTGTTGGCGTGGTGGGCGCTGGAGTCGGAGCCGAGGTGGGTGGTGTTGGTGCTGCTGTTGGCGACAAAGTAGGCGCTGATGTTGGCGTTGTGGGCGCTGGTGTCGGCGCCAGTGTCGGTGCTGTTGGCGCTGGTGTTGGCGCCATCGTTGGCGCTGGCACTGGCCCAACAATGCAAGACCGCCGCCGCCGCCCGCCGCCACCGCAGAGGGGACCGCAATTCCGCCTCCGCCGCCCCCCGCCGCCGCCGTTATAGCATACGGGTAGGGTTGGCGCTGCCGTCGGCGCTGGTGTTGGCACTGCTGTTGGCGTGGTGGGCGCAGGCGTTGGCGCTGATGTTGGCGTTGTGGGCGCTGGAGTCGGCGCCAGTGTCGGTGGTGTTGGAGCTGTTGTCGGCGCTGGTGTTGGCGCTGGCGTCGGCGCCCCCGTGGCCGACATCACCTCGTCGATCCAGTCACGAACAAAATTGACCCGACTCCAGACTCCAGGGTACCCCGAGACGGCACACCCGTAGCCCCACGAAGTGGCGCCATGCAGAACATAAGTATCACCGCTGGAAGCACAGACGAGCGGCCCGCCGCTGTCCCCTTGACAGGCGTCGGTGGTTTCCCCTTCTTCGTTCGTGCCATGCGCACACAGCATGTCATCCGTGATCGCCCAACCGAAATCACTGTACGCAGCTGCGCAGTCTGCGTTGCTGTAGATTGTCACCTCCGCCTCCTGCATTGTGTCAGGGGAGGTACCTCCCGAGGAGATGGTGCCCCACCCGGTGATGAAGCACTCCTCACCGACAGCGACGTCCTCAGTTGGCAAGCATGCTACACCGATGCAATCGTTCAAGGGTGCGTCGTCTTCCAGTTCCACCAGGGCAAAGTCGTGCGACGTCTCGCTCGCGTCATAGAGGGGGTGCGAATGCACTGCTTTCACCGCCAGCGCCTCCTCGGCCGAGTCTGTGGAGTACTGACTGTGGCTGCCCGCCACGACGACAAACGAGCTCCCCATACAGTGGGCCGCTGTCAGGACCCAGTTCGGCGCGACGAGTGTCCCTGGGCGGCGCGGACCACCGGGGGGGGGGGAGCGGGGCGGGGCGGCCCTTTTGGAGTCCAGGGAACTTCCTGGGGAGGGTCCCAGCAGATTCTCGAGAGGCCTCCGAGGAGGACTCCCGGCGGGCAGCGCAGCCATCGTGCCGCCCTGGGGGGACGCTGGGCACAAGCAGGGGCCGTGCCTGGTCACGGCGAGCCCCGGCCACGGCCAGGCCCCCCGACCTGGACACGAGGAGCGGCCCGAAAGCCAGCGCCCCTGCCGAGCCCAAGTCGGTCCTTCTCTCAGCGTCCTGGTCGTGAGAGACGGGGCCCCGTCTTCCAAGGCCGCCCTGGTTCGGGGGCGCGCAAACATGAATTGGAGATCCCTGGACTTGGCGCGCGGTCGGCAACTCCATGGAGCGGGGGAGGTGCCCTTCCCAAAATGCGGCCGGTACCGCCTCGCTCGGCGGCGGAAATCCGCGATTTCTGATGGAAACGGGACCCGTCGCTAATCCACGCCCCTTTGATCCATGTTCCATGTTTGCGATCGCCTGACTTGTGTGTCTGGGGGGGGGGGGGGGGCAGCTCTTTCGAGACCCCCCGCGTCATCGCCGGTCGGCGCGGACACTCGGCGCGCCAACGACGATCGGCACCGACACTCGGCACCGACACTCGGCATCGACACTCGGCAACGACACTCGGCCGGGGCCGACACTCGGCACGCGCATCCACCAGAGCGCAATCTCCCCCCACGGCCAAGCCCTCAGAGACTGAGAGGCGACCTCTGCCCCCCTGACGCACACGAATTGGGCCGCCCCCTGGCCGCGCCCCCTTTGAGCGCCGCGCTCCTCCGCAAAAGTGCCCCCAGCTCGGGCCCGCCGACAGGGAGACCTGCCACTTCCACTCGCAGGAGTCCGCGTCCTGAAGGGGGGGTGGGAGGAGGAGGAGGAGGAGGAGGAGGAGGAGGAGGAGGAGGAGGAGGAGGAGGAGGAGGAGGAGGAGGAGGAGGAGGAGGAGGAGGGGAGAAAAGGAGGAGGAGGAGGAGGAGGAGGAGGAGGAGGAGGGGGAGGAGGAGGAGGAGGAGGGCACGAAGCTCGGCGGAGGAGGAGGAGGAGGAGGGGAGGAGGAGGAGGAGGGAGGAGGAGGAGGAGGAGGAGGAGGAGGAGGAGGAGGAGGCGCCCGCCACGCACCGCGGCGGGCCTGGCCGGAGCCCAGCCCGGGCCTGGGGGTCGGTCGGCGGGCGGCGCCCTCCCCCGGCGTGGCCGCGAGGGCGCGCACGCCGATGCCGGGCTCTGTCCCGGAGGGGCCCGGCCAGGACCCCACGAGCGACGACAGCGCCCACGTCCATTAGGAAGGCACCAACTATACACCAACACCGATCCTGGCCAGGATCACCCTGGGCCCAGGATCGGTGTATACGCCCTCCTGCCTTGGGCAAGAAGGCATATACACCGATCCTGGGCCCAGGGTGATCCTGGGCCAGGATTGGTGTTGGTGTATAGTTGGTGCCCTCCGATCCATACCCACGCGGGCACAGAGGCGCGAGCCCACTTGAGCAGGGGCCGGCCGTCCCGGCGTTCCAAGCATGTTCTCCCAGAGCAAGAACAGCGTTCTCGGAACAGATGCCCGATGTGTGAAGACGAGGCCGTCACAGGCGGCGGCGTTCGAAGAACATGCTGTGCAGAACAAGCAGGTTATGGCAGGCTCGTGTCGTGCCAACTTCGGCGTTGGTTTGTGACACCGCAGGGGATCTTTCAACTCTGAACGGTCGGCCGTTTCAGCAACGCCGGATCGTCCCACGTGGACCAATTCGTGGCCGCCGACGGCGTTCCACGTTGAGCGCTGGCGGCGGGGCCGCCGCCGGTCGGCGCGACGCGAAGCTACCGCAGGCCCACAGGCAAGCGAGGCCGCATCGCCACTGCTCGACCCCTGGATGCGCGAAAACCCGCACACGCGCTCCGCGCGGGGCACCCGCACACGACCGCCCCCCTCTGCCCGCGGGGGCCGCGGCGGGGAGAAGCCCAGGAAGCGAGTAGGGGGCCAGACGTGAACCCTACCCCTACCTCCCACGATTTCCGAGGGGAAGGGCGGGGCTCGCTTCGTTCGGGAGCTCCCGAGCAGAGTGAACCCCACCCTCCCCCTCAGAAATCGTGGGGGGTGGGGGTAGGGTTCGCATCTGGCCCCCTAGCGAGGCAGTGAGCGGAGCGGCTGCCTCTGCCGCCGCCGAAGATCGGCGTGCTCGGCGCCCTCCGACTCCTGCCCGCGTGAGCGAGTTGACGGGGGCGGCACACGGGGTGGGAAGAGAGGTGCCCTTGTCGGGCCCGGATGGCCCCACTGCCGGGCCCGGAGGGCCCCTCCAGGGGCCCGAAAGAGCCTCTTTTCGGCAGCCCTCGCTGCCCCCAGAATTGATCGCCCCCCCATGACGCGCCCCCCATCGGTCGTATGCTTGGCGCCCTCCGACTCCTGGCCCCCCACGATGCGCCCGCTGGCTGCCTCACGAGTGGAGCCGCCCTTCGTGCCGCACTCGGTGGCCGCGGCCGCGGCCATGAACAGAGCGACTGCCGCGGGCACGAGGCGGGCCATCGCGGGCGGTGTCACCGACTGAACGAGCAAGAAAACGGCTCAACACAGAAACTGCCCGAAGCCCGCTCGGACTTCCCTGGTCGGCCATGGGCCCTCCTCACCACGCCCCTGCCAGCACCTCCGTGGCCGCCCCCAGCGCACTCCGCACGCCGGGGAAGGGCGTGGCGAGGAGGCCTCTGCGCCAACCTAAGAAGTCAGCGCGGACCTCCGAGAATGTGTGTTTAGCCTTTGTAGGCTCTCACAAGGGCGGAGGCCCGCGGGCAGGAGTTTTGAGCGGCTCAGCAACGGCAGGAGTTTTGAGCCCGAAGAGCTTAAGCCAAATGGCTGGGGGCGGGAACTACGCGTGCACGGCGAGCTGGTGCGGTAACGCGGCCATCCCATCATACACTGGAAATGCGCCAGCGTGCCTGGAGCACGGAGTGGAGCGCGCTGTAAGGCACAGGCGCAAACACACACACACACAGTGCTCGAGGGCTTGTGGTAATCAGACGCCCGCCGTGCACAAATTATTGGGTGCCCACGCATACCCCACGCTGATTATGAGCGCGCAAACGCGTGTGTGCGTGTGTGGGTGCGTGCATGTGTGAGTTGTGTGTGTGTGTCCGTGCATTTGTGTGTGCGTTGTGCGTTGTTGTGTGTTGTGTGTTGTGCATCATGTGTTGTGGTGTGCATAGTGTGTTGTGTGTTGTGTGTTGTGTGTTGTGTGGCGTGTAATGTGTGTTGCGTGTTGTGTTGTGTGTTGTGTGTTGTGCGATGTGTGCTGTGTGTTGTGCTGTGTGTTGTGGTTTGTGTCGTGTGTGTTATGCATTGTGTTGTGTGGTGTGTGTGTTGTGTGATGTGCAGTGTGGTGTGTGGTGCGTGTTGTGTGTAGTGTGTTATGTGCTTGTGTGGATGAAAACGTTGGTGTGTGGGTGAAACTGTATGTGTGCACATGTAGATATATGGACACATATATATATATAGATATATATGTGTGTGTATAGATGCGTGTGTGTATCTGTCTGCGTGTTTGTGTGTTTTCTGTGTAAGCGTGTGTGCCTGTGTGTATGTGTATGTGTTTGTGCGTGTTTGTGTGTGTGCGTGTATGTGTGTGCGTGACTGCGTGTGTTTGTGAATTTGTGTCAGTGTGTGCGTGTGCGCGTGCGCGTGCTTGTGTGTGCGCGCGCGTGTGTGTGTGTGTTCGCGTGTGTGCCTGCGTGTGTGTGTGTGTGTTGCGTTTGTGTGTGTATTTGCGTGTATGGTTGTTCCCCATCTAGGCTTACCTAAGGGTTTTTGTTGGTCAAATGTTGACGCCTCGGATTCTAACGCTCCCCGTTGCTCGGAGGTCCCACGGGTTTCTCGGGTACCTCGCCCTCGGTGCCTCCGACTATTCCGTGGCATGCCCGTTGCTCGGAGGTGCCCCAGGTTCCTCGGGTTCCCCAGGCTCCCCGCCCCAAGCGCCCCTTTATGATTTCATCGCCCGTTCTTCGGAGGTCCCTCGGGTTCCCGTGGTTCATCGGGTTCCACTTTTTGTTCCCCACATCCTAAGTGGGGTTCTTGTTTTCTCTGCACACCCTCCGCGCAGGATCTCTCCTCCTCCTCCTCCCTCTCCTCTGCTCCTCGTTGCTTCCTCATCCGCATCATCATCACCATCACCATCACTCCCCACTCATCATCATCATCATCATCATCATCATCATCATCATCATCATCATCATCATCATCATCATCATCATCATCATCATCATCATCATCACCATCAGCATCACCATCACCATCCCACGATCACTCACCATCATCGGCATCGAACGATCATCATCATCATCATCATCATCATCATCATCATCATCATCATCATCATCATCATCATCATCATCACTACTCGCTGACTTGAGGCCTGAATATGGAGGAAGTCTCGAGCGGGAGCCTCGTCTGTGAGTGAATTGCGAGGAAGTCTCAGGCGGGAGCCCCCTCCCTATGGGGCCCGCACTTCATGTTCGAATCCGAGCGGGTCATCCGCAACGTGCAACTGTCGTCACTTTTGGGCTCTTGAGACCTGAATATGGAGGAAGTCTCGAGCGGGAGCCTCGTCTGTGAGTGAATTGCGAGGAAGTCTCAGGCGGGAGCCCCCTCCCTATGGGGCCCGCACTTCATGTTCGAATCCGAGCGGGTCATCCGCAACGTGTAACCGTCGTCACGTTTGGGCTCTTGAGGCCTGAATATGGAGGAAGTATCACGCGGGAGCCTCGTCTGTGAGTGAATTGTGAGGAAGTCTCAGGCGGGAGCCCCCTCCCTATGGGGCCCGCACTTCATGTTCGAATCCGAGCGGGTCATCCGCAACATGCAACTGTCGTCACGTTTGGGCTCTTGAGACCTGAATATGGAGGAAATCTCGAGCGGGAGCCTCGTCTGTGAGTG